GTGTGTAGTGCTGTTACAGGTACTCGGGGACAAGAAGTTCGGAAGCTTGGACAAAACATTGTCGGCACGTTCGCGCGCACGGTTACACCGACATTCGTTCAATAACGGGTAGCTGTACTAGAGCACGAGTTCGACGGATACGCCATGAATTGCGATTCCTCACAATGGAAATTTGAAATATCGTATCTTCTATGAGGTCCACGAAACCCCACTCAGTGGTCATCTTGGTCGCGAGAAGACATACAGTTCTATTAGTTGCCACTACTGGTGACACAAGCTGTACAAATGAACGAGCCCATATGTGCGCACGTGTTAGACGTGTCAAAGGGTAAAACTCGCTCGGAATGCGGTGGTGCCGCTGGCCAGTTTACCGGTACACTCCGGGAGTTAGCAGTCCATGAGTATGGACTTTGTGTTTAGCCTGCCGAAGGACTTGGCGGGCAACACGGATGTAGTAATCTTTGTGGACCGTTTGAGCAAGATGGCTCATCGTGCTGCAGTGCCGGACACCATCGACAGTGTGGGTACAGCAACGCTGTCTACCGAACGTGTCATTCAACAGCATGGACTCCCGGGGTCAATCGGTCAATTGACCCTGACAGAGACCCACGCTTCGCTGGGAAGTTTGAGTCTGCAATCGTTAAGGTGCTGGGCACCAATTTGACTATGTCAACAGCGGACTTTCCGCAGACCGATGGCCAGACTGAGCGCTTGAATCGCGTCACTGATGTCGTTTATCGCAGCATCTGCGCTGAGATGCCGAAGCGCTCTGAACAATGCAGCGCTTTCGTCTACCGGCTACATACCATTCTCCGTAAACGGGCTTGCTAATCTCCGCGTTCCGCTGACGCCGCCATCCCATGGTTCTAGGATTGGAGAGGGAAAAATAGCTAAACGGCTAGCTGATGTCAGCCCCCTAACTGTCCGTATAGAAGTCGATGAGTTCCTGTTTACCAGACTAAGTGTTCTACGACACGTTCGCGATGCGATGACTGAAATCCAAGACATGCAGAAAAAATATGCAGACGAAAGAAGCAAATATTGTTGAAAACAATGAGGTCGGAGACCTGGTTTTATAAAATGCTAAAATCTTCATACACATGCAGTCTCTGCTGTCTTCAAGACAAAGCTCCGTCCACGGTTTTTTGGGCCCCTTAAGGTTATGACCAAGCGACGCCTTGCGTATACGCCCAACCTTCCGAGAAGGATGTGCACCCACCTGGTGTTTAATGTGGGCTTACTTAAGCCGTACCGGAATCCGGTGGAAGTGAACGATGAAGCGTTGGCGCCGAAGCGGCTCCCACATACGCTCGACCACCAGAAGCTGGGCTAGCAACCGGTTCTGAGCACGGAGTGCAACAATGTTCTTTTTCAATGGCGCAAGGCACTCCATCGTCACACGAAGCGACGTATTTGTATGCTCGGTAGCTAAGAGCCGCTCCGGCAAAGCGATAATCATCAACGTGACGCAGTCGATGCACAAAGTCTGCAGTCTCTCCGCGCCACTCCAACCATCCACAGCCGTGGCCAGAAAGGGAATCAATTGCTTTCCTAAATTCTCAAACACATCCTATGTTCTACGTCGAATGCGCTATTAAAAGCCATAACAGTCTTGCTGACGATGATTTAAAGTATACATCTTTCCCTGCAGCTCTCTGCCTTGTGATATCCGGTAGCAGCACGATTCATAATCGCCTACGGCGATTTAAGATATGGTTGCGCATTTCACAAATCACATCTGAGAACTGACTCATAGCAACTCGAGGCGCATGTCAACACTCTTGGATTTCATAAAACGAAATCTCACGGGTCCCAGTCGCAGAAGAATTGCCCCCTTGGCGATTTTGATCAAAAAGTGGGGAGGCCTGTGTCTCATGGAGGCTTTAAATTTTTCGGATCACTTCGCGCGCAGGCGGTACTCATGTGACGTTGTGACGTGAAAGACAAAAGTCACTTTTGGGTCGACTTTGTGACTTCATTACGCTCTCACTTTGAGCAAAAAGCCTGCATGCAAAGGCGCGCAACAGCTCTGCCGCGGTGCGGCGGATAAAGTCTTACAGCTTTACCCATAATGACGACCTGCATAGCCTGTAAACCTAAGGCAAGCTTTTTTAGTTAGCTAAGTTCAGACCATCAGAAACGAGCTGAACGTCGTCACACGTTCTGCAACGGAGTGCCAAAGCCCTCAGCCATTGGAAGTAGGCACGGAATGTGCAGCGCGGGTTGGACGTATAATCTTCGAGAAACGGCTTTTGCCATATGGCAATTGGTGGAGGCATAAACGCCGTGTGAAGTTTGGATGATCATTGCGATCATTTGTATCTGAAACGACCACTACCTCTTCTGGATCATCGGATGCGGTCCTTGGCGTTCCCATCGAGTCAGGTGGACAAGTCAGGGGAGAGGACTCTGATCACTGCATAGCGTGAAACTAGCACTCTCCGCTCCAAAGTTATATACTATTATGTTTTTTATAATAGTACCATACTTTGGAACTATAATTCCGAGAGTGAAAGATATTTTTACACCCTGGAATTTTACGCATTTCAGTAAGATATGTGTACCCAATTTTTTGGGGCATAAACTTTATTTTTAGATTTCGCTACAACTGCTTTCAATTATTTTGATAAGTGGAGCAATTAAGTAGAAAATTGAAATGTGAGGATCTGATTCAAGAAATGCAAATTTGTGACCATTTGGTATATTCATTATACAAGTCTCAAGTTCCAACATTGACAATAACAATTGACTTTCTAACCCACATGCCAGAGCCTTCTCTGACTTGTGAGTAACAATCAAAGGTGCGGAGAACGTCATGAACTATCTAATGTGGCAGCAATTACTGTGTTAATCGTTTGCAGGCATATGAAGTAATGCACCTCGTTGTCCAATTTACGTCTCGAAGAATACACGTCCATGTTCCCACAATTATGCGGTGTTTAAATGTCTATTGTAATTATTTACTGGACACAGCAGGGAACTTGAGCTGCATCTTTAGACAATGTTCATGCCATCGTTGAGCCAGTGTGTGTTTTCTACCACGAGGCAAATGAGCCTGTCGATGCTTTAAACTTGGACCATTCCTCAAGATTTTATTGTCTAAACGACACTTAATTACTATTTACTTTCGTTGTCTTAAAACCAAAGTAAGTTGAAATCGTTAGCATTGTATCGTACGGTCAGCATTTACTTTACGATCGAAAACCACCTAAGAACTTTGTAAGATTTACTTTTGATTATAATTGCACAGATCACACAAGAGTCTGCTCTGCCTTAGTAAATATCATATCTAGACTGTATTAATCACAGAGTCATCACGGCGTTTTGATAATGACAGTCTTGCTTTCAAGATAATTGCGAAGACCTTGCATTCCCTGTTCGCGACCAACGCCTGAATTCTTAAAGCCACCAAATGGCGTGTTGGCTTCAATGACCGTGTAGCAATTCACGTACACAGTGCCGACCCGCACACTATTTGAAATCTTGATCGCATTGTCGAGGCTGGATGTGACTACACCAGCACCTAGACCATACTCGGAATTGTTGGCTCGTTCAATCACCTCGTCAATGGTTTTAAACTTGATAATCGACATAACGGGACCAAAAATCTCTTCACGAGCAATAGTCATCTCTTCCGTCACATCAGCGAACACAGTTGGTTCAATATAGAACCCTCTGTTACCCCAACGCTTTCCACCACAGATTAAACGAGCACCTTCTTTCTTTCCCGTCTCGATATAAGCCAGAATTTTCTTAAACTGAACATCGTCGATCTGTGGGCCATGTTGGACAGACAGATCTTGTGGATCACCAATCTTCATAGATGAAGCAGCTTCACCGGATCGACGGACGAATTCATCATAAATACCTTCCTGTACGTACACGCGGCTACCGGCGATACACACCTGGCCAGCATTCAAAAACAGACCAACCTGTGATTGTCGGATAGCAGCATCAATATCAGCATCATCGAGAATGATATTAGCAGACTTGCCGCCAAGCTCAAGACTGATGCGCTTGATATTATCCACGTGCGATGTACGTAGGACCTTTAGTCCTGTCTCGGTAGAGCCCGTAAGTGCGACTTTGTCTACATCCGAGTGTTGTGTGAGGTGAGCACCGACAGTACAACCGCCACCCGTAACAATATTTACTACTCCTTCTGGAAAACCCGCTTCAACAATAAGTTCAGCAACGCGTAATGCCGTAAGTGACGTCTGCTTCGCAGGCTTAAGCACCACAGTGTTGCCAGTAGCTAATGCAGGACCCAATTTCCAGGATGTCATAATCAATGGAAAGTTCCACGGAGTGATTTGGGCGCATACACCCACCGGTTCTTCCTTGGTGTAGCATAAATAAGGTCCTGGAATCGGAATTGTACTACCATGAATCTTGTCTGCCCAACCGGCAAAGTATCGAAGCGTGTTGATACAGGCTTCAACATCTAAGAAGCGTGTGAGAGACCGCGGTTTGCCAGCATCGAGCGATTCGAGGTCGGCTAACTCGTCACCATTCTCCTCGATAAGATCTGCTAAACGGTAGATTAGACGGCCTCGCTCTACAGCGTCAATAGTACGCCATGTACCATTAAAAGCATCTCGAGCCGCTTTAACAGCAGCATCAACATCAGCAGGAGTGGCTTCGGCCACAGACGCAATTCTTTCCTCAGTCGCAGGATTAAAAGTATCAAAGGTTGCACCATTCGAAGAAGGCACAAATTCATTGTTGATAAAGAGATTCGTTTGCCTCACTGGGTCGTTCAAATCAAAGTGACGTGGCAAGGGACTAGCTGACGAGGAACTGCGAGCAGTAGCAGGAACAAGGCGGCGTAAAATGGATCTTTGCATTGTATGCAAGCGAAGTCGAGATTGAGTATTAGCAGGTAAAATGAAGAATGATCGATGTCACTTATCCTTGTCGAATGCATCAAATCGAATCAGTTGCGTGCCTTCGTAGTTGATATAAGGTCTTCATTGCACATTTCTCGACACACTAAGGCGCTAGTGAGTACACTTATGACGCAATGTAGCGACAAGTGAGCTTAAAGAATGGATAGGTGGAGTACGATTGGCATTTAAAGCCTCGACCTACGGGAAGGAGCGGTGTACACTTAATGCTTACTGATACTGAGCTGTATTAGGATATTATATGACTTCAAAAAATTGGACAATTGTCGAAGATGTATAGAAATGCACTATGTGAAGGTATATATATCACTTGAAGATAGGAGTTCATAAAAGCTCGTTATGATCAAGAAAGGTAGAGGTAGAAAGGTCTTGAAACTACACTAATGTTCTATGGTCGCGCTCTAAATGAATAATTCCAAGTCAACTGTGATAAGGAGGTTCAAAACGTGCGCATGAGGATCTTCTGTCTATTTGCTGCCTCTAGATCCTTCGCGCCTTTTCTGCTTTTAACTCAACATGCTTCTCTTTATAATTGATGAAAGAAACCAACGTAGTTTACTAGTTTTTCTTTCACCTTATCATCTCGCGAATGGACACTCATACTAGATTAGTAAGCAAGTTACGGGAAAAGAAGAGTTGGGACAACTTGCGCATAACGATAGTGTAGCACGTCGTCTCGACAACCACGTTTATGTGTGCTACTGGAAAATGCCGATGACAGAGCAGCTGAAGTTTCTGATGAGTAATCGCGTCATATATTGAAGAATCATGAATGAGATCGTATCATTACCTGTCGTGCGACATACGCCATATATCACCCTTTAAATGCTTGCTACAAGCAATGATGTCTCCTTCTCAGGTGCTTCGTCTATTGCAAACAATGGCAAGGACAGAACATTTGTGGATCCGGTGCAGGAATTACGTAGCAGTATATCCGGAACAGAAATTACGCAGTGTAGTATATCCGGTGTAGGAAATGGCGTATTGAACTAATATGAACAAAAACTGGGAAGATCGGCTTGGCTTTGTCGTGAGTTTTGATGTCTTAGTACTGTATATGATTTCTAAAGTACATTCATGAGTGCGCGGCAAGTTGTCGAGTTGTAAACGATTTAAAAGCAACAAGAGAAATGCATAACGAATCCTGAAAGATCCCGCGGTTGTTACGTATGTTTGGTAGAAAGTTCGAGGACTTTGTCACAAATTTACCGTTTTTCTACCGCGTTATTAGGTTTTACCAGTTGTGTAATAGTATTAAGCAGTAGAATATATCTATGCGATATTAATAGCTTGGAAGTTACTTCTTCACAAGTAAGTGTCATTTTCAAAGAATAATGCGGACGTTCTACAGAGCACAATTCATTAAACTCTGTCTCACGGCAGAGAATGCAACGGACTAATTACAGATGAGACGTCGACTCACAGCCTTCGCGCTACTAGGGCTCTCCAAACAGAAGCGTAAGTGAAATCTTTCACATAATTTAATACTTATTGGCTACTATTCTATTTTGATAATACTGTATGTAGATGAAATTAAGTCTAATTTTAACTTATAGTTAATATATGTATGTATTGCATGGCTGACAGCTTACGTTTTCCAGAGATAATGGTGTAACGTTACACAGTATTTCGTTCATTTCAATACCAATCCATTGATACATTTGACTTTCGCACATTAACACAAAGTATGATGCGTGTCATGATTGCAAAAAAGTGTAATGCGGACGTGCATTTAATACGGTACGTACCCGTTACACACTGCACTTCGAGCCATCATTTGAGCCTTACAGTACCTGCTCTTACAAACCTTATTTGCAATAGGGGCTCACTTTGCGTGTTTTTGCGGCCCAACAAGCCCTAAGAAAGGCGCAGTCCTTGCGGCCGACGCTCTTTAAGGCATTTGCGGTTGAAGGCCTAAGGCGTTCTCTGATAAGCAAGGTCATAGTCGCTTCCAAGCCCCGACCCAGCATTTCCGTCCTCACCGAGAAACATACAGAAGATCCATCCAGGAAAAGCGGGATTCTCTTGACTCCACCTTGTCTTTGCACGAATTGCGCACTCCATGCTCCTTCCCTGCGACGAAAAGTGTCATAAATTCCCGCCGCGTATCTCACGACGACGTCAAGCCTGTAACCAATGAGCGAAACATCGCTCAACAAGCTGAGCTTACCCGTTACAAAAACCCAGAGTATCAAAGATCCCTACAGGTCGTGATTATGTATTGAGCAGGTATTCGTCCCAACAAAATGGAGCCTTCACACGGCTAGAGGTGCTGGCCATTTTTAAATAATGAGCAAAACGAGCGCTCGAAAGCTGCTTTGTGAGCGATTTCTAACCCCTTAGGTCACAAATCCTCAAGAGTACCACCCGCGCCTGAACCGACAGCACTCATGTAAATCGTATCTTTATAATAACCGTATTTTGATCTCTGAGCGTTTGGAAAAGCACTGAAGCCTAGCACAGGGTGAAGAAGACACGTCACCACACCCGTCAAGAAGTGTCGATTCTAGACGTCATATAATGCTTCACTTTTCATTGTGCTAGCACAGCTTGGATGTCGAAGTAAATCGTCTCAAGCTCTTGCAGGTAATGGCCTACGCATCAAAACGAGCATGTTATATCACTTGAAGCAATACTGGGCCCCACTTGCTACGCGCTGTGACAGGCAAGTGTGTCCCTTCATTTAGGAAGATAAATCCGAATGTGCACCAAGTGGTAAGTCTCACGATGCTAGGGAAATCTCGCCAAAACGATCCTTAAGATATCGCGATCATGCCATCAGATACTCGTGACAGCTCTTGTAAATCCCGGGTCATACAGAAAAGTGGACAACCTTCTGTTCAGCGAGTAGTACTGGCAAAAGATAACTTTCCCACGGCCGACTCTGTACACTATCTCGGTATTAATGACGCAACAACTTTCCGTAACAGTCTAAAATTCTGACCGATACCGGGATGATCCATGTGTTAGCTCAGCTATGGGGATTGTAGAGGCGCTGATTTGTTTTTAATGGGCGCACTATATCCCCAATGGCTCGTAAGAGATCGTGGTATGGTTCTAACAAGCCCAAGTAAAACACTCCTCAGGACATTGCGGACTGAGCTCAAACTCCCATACAGCCGCGCTCGTAATTGATCCAATGTAATGTAGTGGCGACTTAGTACTGTAGATGGCAGACAGCGCATATGTAGGTTTTAAACTGTGTTCAGTGAGCCATTGCATATCCATGTATGCTCCGTCTGCCTATAGTATCTGCATTTCGTTTCGGTGAAATTCTGGCTCCGAACCAAGGCGTCAATACTTCATCATATCAAGACAAGGGTCAAGATTTTGCTACGAAGCGTGTCCGAGCTGATATCAGCGAGTTGAATCGTATCGATAACCTTTCCAGCACCCAGACGGTAAACACATTGTGGCTGTGCCAAAGACGCGCGGTGTTTGAGCCAAGCCAATATTTTTATTATTTTGGTCTACGGTGGCGATGTATAGACAGCATTGTTCAAAGCTACCAGTATTAGTAGGATGACTGTAGCCACCGTTGCATGCGGCGAGGGTTCAATTCGTTGCCACGTTTTGCACGTGCAGGTCGCACACGGCCTGATGTTCGCTGATATGTATGGCGTTAGTTTACTGAAGAGTTCCCTTTAACAGGGCCGAATAGCGTTTTGTGCTTGAAGTTTTTAACATGAGGTATTTCTCTACGCAGTGTCATAAGGTGAGTGCTGTAATATAGCAAGTCTAAAAATTGAGGAATAGCGGTGCAAATGTATCCATACACTCTGATTAATCTACACCCGGCTCACAAACTTCTTACTGCCCAAAAATTTCCGCTATGCAACACATGTTGTTGTGACATATACACTATATGCATCGCATCATCAATGCTCAACGTCATCATTGTGAGCTATGACAAGGACAACATAAACTACTACATCAATCCAGCTTATACTTTAACTCAACGTTATATTCGACAGGCAAGGAAGATGTATCCATTTTTGTGGATGATGTGGCTACGGCGTCGATGTGCGCATTGACGTACGCCAAATGCTTATACTCTTCAGTATACTTCATAGCGAGAAATTACCTGATACAATCCAGGCAGCTTTTTCTGCCGCTTTGAGCTTTTGAGACCGAAATCGCTTACACATTCATGCCCGACAGAAATCTACTTTGATCCTTTATTACGAAAAAAGGACAAAAATCAAAGCACACACGTTGTCTTTTTTCCCGCCACCGCTTTTAACTCAGCAACATTCACTTGCCGCACTTCGGCACCTTTTGACATCAGTTATAAGTAGACTAGTTTGGTGGCGAGTCATATCGGCGTATTTTGCGCTGTTTTTAAGTAGTTGGCCAGGTCGAAACGCTTCCGTATGGCCGTTCGGAGTAGCGACACAAGACAAACTACCACGACTTTAAAATTCGCGGGGCCTTCCGGCAAATCATGTTTGAAATGATTTTTACCAGAAATGAATTTTCGCTGATACCCGAAGATCAGCTAACAAGCAGTTAATTCCGAAACATACTGCTTGCAAGTGTTCTATTTGAATGTCTATATCCGACTTTCTGTGCTTTACACATCACGAGTAAGAATTTTATGTCGTTTAAGCTTCTGCGGCGCACAGACGCATCCCGCTTGGGATACCAATCGTATTGCATGGATAGTCATTGCTTCTGATGATATGGTGGCTTAATAGTCAGCTACATCAAAGGCTGCAGCCACCATGTTACCACCAAAGTTTGCGCCGGAACAATCGCTGTATCAAGCATATCATAAGCATCCAAATGTCGTCATTTGTTGTTTATCTTCTGAACACAGACAATGAAGGCCATGTCGGGAAATTCACACTCTCTTGCTTTGCGGCTTTGCAAAGAAGAAAGCGCCCATTGCGTAAAACAGGTTTCATGGAGGGGACATCAACGTGGAACGCGATATGCGGTTTCAATAACCAGGTCATTTTTCAATAACGCACTTCTGTCTGGGAGCAGCACATATGGTCGGAAAATCATCACCACGTCGCGATATTCTTGCAACAAAGGATAAAGAGGTATGACTAGCCTCATTCCTCCTACCAAGTGCTTTGCGAGTGTCCTCAGTGACCAACACATCCATGTTGGTTGGTGAATGCGACTTTTAACTAGTATGCTTCATCCAGTCGCGGAATTGAGCGCCTAAACAGCAACTATGTACTGAGTTTGCTCTCCGTTTTCAAAATTGACATTCATATCGGATTGATTGAATGTAAATTTTGCAATATGTACTGTTCAAAATCTTGTAAGTACTTGTATTGCGCGACGTGAGATTAGCAGCTAGTGTGTTCGACAAAACTCTCCTCTATGGACTCGCATGGTCTTCATTAGAACTGGTACCTTGTTGCCTATGATTAAGTATCATTCACGATTAATACTAGTACAATGAAAGGAGGGCAATTAGGGTTGTGGATCATGTGGCAATAACCCAATGCTATGCAAAAACATAGTTTATTATCGAACACAGTAAAGTAGACTTAGTTTGTATCAGTCTGATTTATATTTAACTCTAAATCATATGTCACTTTTGAGATACAAAATATAAAGCAAACAAGTACCTAGTTTATTAAAGTCTCTCATTTCCGGTTCTAGATAGAGTAACCTCTCTGCGCGTTATTTATGCGGACTCATCCGTCATATCTGCCGCTGTGTCAACAACCTCATGCAGAGTATTCCACCGCCATCAAATTCGCTGTTATCTTCTTTCTAGAAAATGCCGTACGTTCCGTATTCTGTTTCAGAAGGCTGCACATTCACTCTGCGATCCAGATCTATGCTGGGAAGAATATTACATGTGAAATACAGTTACAAAACTTATGCGAATATACATATTGGCTTTTAATGTACGCGATGCTGGAAAAAGTGCTAGTAGGATTGTGTGAAGCACACATCTGATGCTCACCCCGCAAAGCGTGTATCCAATGTATACGTGGTCTCGATCGTCCTTAATAGCACATCGATGTGATCACAAGAGATATTTCGTGAAGAGCATAAAAGCTTCATTTGCTGTATGCATTCGCGTGTGAATACTGGAGGTGTTTCGATCGAGCAAACTTATAATCACAGAAATGGAAGGAAAGTTCTACACAATCAAACAACAACTAAATTTATACTTTGAATCGAGCTGACGATAACACATGATTTCGTTTTCAACGCTGTCGCATCGCTTCTCTTGCCTTGTGGCTCGTACTAAAGGCGTCATACACTGACAAAGAGTTACACAAAGATAATGGTTGCTTCTGAAATTCTCACCTCTGACAACTTATATCTCAACGTTGTGGGCTAATTCAGAATAATTAAGCACTTATATAATTTACTAGCTAGATAGTTACAAAAATTTACTGTCAGTGATACGTGTTTTACTTACCATAACCTAATATTATTACACGATAAGCTCTTTTGAAAGTACTGAATCTTGTCAGTGCCTTCCCCCGTTTTGTGCGTCAAAACGTACTGAGACAAAATGACTAGTAACGACAAGGTTCCTCCTACAGCAACATTGGACTTCAAGCCCACATTGGTGTCTACTGCAGAGCATGCTTCAAATTTCGCTCAAAAGTGTGATCCAACGCATGAACCCGAGCTTGCTTCAGTATCAATTCCAATGTCTATCTCAGTACCAGCGTTGGAGTCATTTTCGCTGTCAAAGATTGAACCTCTTTCAGTGTCCGCACTAGAGTCATCTTTAGTACCTGTATCTGTGATTTCTCAATACAATCGACTGGATGAAGCAGATTTACAAGAGGCGAAGAAGTTAGGACTATTACTTGAGAATTTACCTGTGAACTTAGATGCTACAGCGGCGGACTTTGGCATTGCGTACGAAAAAAGAGGAGGCACCAAGATCGCAGGCTGTGCCATTGACGTTTTTAAAAGCCAAAAGTTACTACAAGAGCGATGTAAGCAATTTGCCATGCAGCGTGGTTTCCAGCTGTTTGTATCCGGTAGCAGTACACGACCCAATGGCGGCGGAAATGTCAAGTATCGCTGTAAAAAGCTCCATGGCCAGCAATTTTTTGACCCCGACACTCCCGCGAACAAACTGCAATGTCCGTTCTACATCAATGGCTACGGTAAGGACGAGAATTGGAAGATCACACGCGCTTGTTTCCTTCACAATCATTATAAGTTTATTGGCTGGCGAATTGGGCCTCCACCGCCACTCTATCCGGTCGCTATCGCTCCTTCGACAGCAGTAACTGGTGATACTATACCCACTGCACCTTCAAGTACAGATCTTATCGTATCACAGGGTACAGTAATACCGACGGGATCACATGAACCATGTACGGAATCTTCTCTTACTCTTGATCACTTGCAGGCTGCTCAAGTACGAGTAAAACCGCAGAGGAATACGACAATGTCGATGAAGACACTCTGTCGAATCGTAACGGATGAGGTAAATCAGTATCCGGCATCAAATGTTGTGATGGCCAATTTAGATGGCAAGGCGATTCGACGGATCTTGCTTGCACAAGGCCATACAATTAATCATATGATGGCATCCCGAATCAAGCGGCAACTTCAAGATTCACGACTCACTCAAGTACGAACGTCGTTTCAAAAGTTAAGAGGGTATTTGAGTACTGTCGCGGAGAAAAACCCAGGATCTTTGTTTCGGGTGGATACAAGAGACGATGGAGCATTTACCCGCGCATTATTTATCCCAAATGCGACATTAAATAGTGTCAAATCTTGTCGTAAAATTCTGTCGCTGGATCACATTATCCCACGTATAGAGACACCATCGGAATCAATTATAGGAAATCTTGAGGATGGAGACATTGATGACGTCATTTGTGGTGTGTATCTTAAAGCTGCAACGAAAGACTTTAATGACGATGTTATTACGTTTGCACTCGCACTTGTGACCGAAGAAAATCAAACAAATTGGGAATGGTTTCTCACTGCATTGCAAAATACGCAAGTGGTGGACTGGAATCAATATACAATCTTTGCTGGTCGTATGTATGGATTAGAAGCCGCTATTCATAGTGTTTGGCCGTTAGCAAGTCACCACTATTGCATGCGTCGACTAATAGAAGATGAACTTGAAACGACAACAAAACTCCATCTGTCTATTGAAAAGAAACAAAGTCTCTTTGATCTGGCCCGCAGTGACAGCGAAGTTGAGTTCGACACTCTTTATAAAGCACTAGTCACTACGAATGAAGCAGTCATGGCATATTTGAATAATCTGGATCGCGCTAATTGGGTGAAATACGCGTTTCTGGAAAACTTTCGGCGACCGACATTTAATGAATTAACGTCGGATCTTTCCATGGCGTTAGGAAGTGATGAATTGTTGCCACAACATGCAAGCCGAAGCCATATTGACTGGTTTGGTCAAGATACAATCAGTAGTTCGTACCCTCTTAACGCGTTCCACCAGTATTTTATTAAAATTGCCGAGATTTTTCACCAACGTCGTCAATCTGTCAAGACACGTCCAGGGCACGAGCTTGTACCCAAGCGAGACGCACAACTCCAACAGATATTACAAGGAAGTCAGCGCTGCGAGGTATGTTGACAATTCATGTTTGTGTGTTCAAGCTTTCTCTCACCCAGTTCTATTGACTACAGTCAATTCCTTGTTCGAATGGACTCTTTATGGTGCGCTACCTTGGCCCAACACGATTGCAAATTCCTGATAGTTGGCGACATGTGAACCTTGTCGATTGGGAATGTACGTGTCTTGACTGGCAAGATCAACACTTCCCGTGTTTGCATGCAATCCATGCTTCGGAATTAGAGCAACGTCGAATCAATTCATTGTACGATGCGAAACAAAACTCGATCGGAAAATATCTGGCGAGTTACTCGACTTCGTTCGCACCATGGCCAATCGAGGCTTCTCCTATTGATCCATCGCTTAAAACGCCTCTTGATTTCTACTTTTCTGAAGACGGGACTGGTCGCCGAAAGCCCGGCCCGCGACCAAAGAGAAAACGGCTTAATGAAGATTTAAATCGGGAAGAAAAGTTATAACTTCTATCGATTTTGAAGGAAACTCATGAACCTGCACGACAAATTTGGAGTAAAAAGGGAAATTACGATATCTTACCCATGTGCTGAATCGAAAAATGCGTTGAGTTAACTATTCTTCTCTTTCGAGAAAGCAAACTGGACACGTGGACTGCTCCGCATAGTGAGCAACATATTTCGAAAGATCTTAGCATCGACGCGCACACAATGTGCATCAAATTAAATTTAAAGACTCTTTCTCGTGATGAAATGATGACACTATGCACGATTCGAGCTGCAAAGACCTTGTCCCTACGTTCAAAGTTTTATAACTGATACCATCGTGATTACCAGCTCACCATCATTCTGGTTGTAGTACAGATGCAGCACTTCTTCCATTTGCTGTAACGAAGGCTCTACTCAAGCAAGTGTTGTCAAAATTGTATAGATACAAGTCAATGGAAAAAATGTGAGCTTTATCTTTAAAGTTATATGAACAAGTACTTTGCTCGTCAATTTGACAATCTGTTACTCCCACGGACATCGCGTTGTCTTCTCCGCCCCTGTTACATACAGTGCGTGTTCTCCTCACTCCATTCTTCATCTGTTCGCTATAAGCTGCGGATTCTTTTTCTCGAAAGTGAAGACTTTGGTAAAAACACAGACGGTAGCACAGTGCTCAAAAATCGCGTGTTGCTTGACGAAAACGGCCATAGCGCCGTAAGAACATCAGGATTTTGGAGCAGCGATTCATAATGCACTCCAGGAATCGTCACGTGTACAGCCTCGTATGCTACTAGAGGGTAATAAAAAAACGATGAGAACAATATCAAAGTGAAGGCAATTTCAAATGAAAGTGCTGTTGCTGAAAGCTGGGTATTGTTTTAGAAGTTGTGCACACTGGCGAAAAGCTCGTATCTGAACCAAAGTGAATACGATATCTTTGAGCTGCTCCATGATCGTGCCGTAGGAGGGTCTCGTCAATCATATTGGCTACTTGCTCTTCTACGTACTGCAGACTGGGTCAAAAGATCTAATCTTCGAAAATGAACACTTTTCATTGACTCTCTTGTTTTATTAGCTTTCTAGACGGTCGTCACCTTGACCTTCCCGTCTTTAGTGACTGAGAATTTAGTAAGTTTCGATGGAAATGACTGTCGAGCCAATCTTTCGCATTCCAAGCAGCTCTACTTCAGTATGCGCAATGCATCCAGCTAAAATATGTTGTGACGTCCAAGGTCATTAACTCTCAGCACCAAGAAAACAACTCGTATTGACTAATATTGTTCACATCTACGTTCCGGGCCTTGTCATCGTTTGTGACTCCTCCAAACCCAGGCCGCTCATTGTGCATTGTGAGCGTTTAAACCTTCGAGGGTAAGGGTGGAGAAAATCTCCTGTTCCAAATAAGAGAGGCCGAAATGGCCATGGCGTTCGCCATGGTCCATACTGAGCAACAGCGTGTGGCGCTAGCTATCTCCAAGCTCGGTGGTCGAGTGCGAGAATGAGCACTGACGTGCGGTACTTCGGTTGAAGTGGTATTTTTCTACTGGGCGGAGCTGAAGCTGCAGCTGTTACTTGCCCAACCAAGCATAACGCGTACGATCGCGTTTCCTTGTCGACCGACAGGGGTAGAAAGAATTGATGGACTTTGGCCAAGGATTGCGTACTTTCATCGCCGAAATGGCAGCCGATCCTCTACCCGAGGCGATCACAGTGACTGTCTTTACAGAGGGCCTCCGCACGGGCGTGGCCACCATAGAAGTCTTCTGTATGAATCCGTCTTCTTCTGAAAAAGCGATAAACGTGGCATTGCATGCCAAATTCAACTATAAGTCGGTACGACATGGTTTGAATGCACACCATCATAGCTCTTCGAACAGGCCTGAGCCAGTAGACCTCAGCAATGCGAAAGAGGAGGATGTCCTCTGAGCTACCGGGCAGCGTTTAAACACCCAACGGTGTTTTGTCTGCGGAGACACCCGTCACCTTTGGACTGATAGTCCCCTGCGGAAGGCGCGTCAAAATTCATCGAGCCGATGTCCCACATCTAACCAGTCTGGCTCGTCAAGGGGAAACGAGAAAACCAAGCAGGCGCGGGGCGCCCTACTGGAGAAGAACTGAGTTCTTTCGGGTCTCAAAGGGGTAGAGAGCAGCAGGACAAGCCCCGAAGAGCTCCGTGCTCATGAATATGGAGCGTATATGCTAGCCGGGCTTGCCGGTCATAAAAGCGACCGTGAAGGGCTTTGAGAAGCTATGACAAATTCTGATCAATTCCGGGGCGTCGAGCATAATTGCTCGACGCTCCACGATTGAAAAAGTTTGTTTGCTGAGGTCTGAAAGCGCGGTCGAGTGACACCGTCACTGTGCCGAGAGTCCCTGTGGACCTCGGTGTAATGTTTCTTGACACTGATAGTGTGGAACGCTGCTTTGTCTTAGACTTGGATTTAAGTTATGACCTCATCCTTGGCATGGCTTGGTTAGAACACTACGAGCCATGGATTCATTGGAGGTCGAAGACCTTGGGCGCTACGCGCACACCTCCTGGTGGAGCTTTGGTGAGTCATGAACCCACCTCTGCTAGGAAGCAGAAGCGCTATTGGCGCAGGCACTGGATCGGGACGGTCAATGTGCTGGATAGCGATGTATCCGCGTTGTCTTACACCGAAGGTGAATCGGACAAGAGTCCTGACCATGGCTCGCGGGTTGAACGTGTGAGGGCATGCAATGTTCTGATCACTGCTCACGTTACGAAGCAGTTGCTGCAAGCCAAGAGTGGTATGGTCGGACGAGGTCCGAGGCATCTTGAGCAAGGCCCTTCTGATGCGCGTTGAGTGGCACGTTATCCACTGGACGAAGACTACGGAACTAACAGATCTATGTCGGATGTTGTTAATAGCATCAAGGCTTCAACGGAGCAGGGAGTTGGGACACTGGACGACGCCGAGTGCGTGTTCCTACTGGTCTCGCCAAGACGTAAAATTCTTTATTGAGAAAAGATGGTGATGCCGTATGTTATCTGCATGACGCAAACCTGCGTGACAATTGTTGCAGACGACTCTACGGCTGTCAAGGCCCTTGTCCAAGTCAGCCTTGTGATTGTCGTTACGAGTGATAGTTACACAATCGAGTCGCGTCTCACACTCCACATCTAGATGCCGACAGATTTAAGCTAATGGCTCAATTAAAATGGGACTGAAAGTAATGCGCACATCGAGATAATCTCAATCGTATCAGTATTGAACTTAGCGGTACGTCTGCTAGCACCATTTTCGACGATTGCTGATATCAACCCCAGTCATGATATAGCCTGTTTAAGAGTGTCATGTCATCGTGTATATCGATATAAAATAAAGTAATCGAGTGTATGGAGTACATCTATAACGATTAATAGGAATTTGTGAACAAAGTGACAAGTTTAGTTGTGATAGTAGTAAAAAGGGGTCTAATTCGAAAATGATGTGGCTAATAAAACGATCTAATTACGCTTAAACATACCTTTTCAAATAGATTCATTTTTTCTTTGTCTACAATATTCAATATCAATTCTTACCCTTGCTTAGATTTTTTGCTAGTAACACCTATGAGCTGTGCATCTACTGCAGCAATACCAGCAGTAGGATGATAAAATCGTATCTCACTTATCATCCGTTGGCGAATCTCCAACACATTCATCTTTTTTTCGTCAAATTCAAGCAGAATCGTTCCAGGAGCAACAAGTTCTTCTTCCAGTGATCGAATGCTAGCCAAATACTTGTGCGACAAAGCTTCATCTAAAGTCGCACGCTTATTCGGATTCATCTTGAGCATCCAAGTAAGTAGATCAATAGCTTCCGGTTCAGCACCTGGATACATTTCCTGCAGATTGCGCTTTGGTCGAGGTGGCAAACTACGCAAATAGTATTGTACGTCAGGATCTGCTATCTCAGCAATATCCTCTTCCTCCATCGTGCCCAGAACGTCCAAAATTGTATTTAATTGGTCACGACTATCCTGGGGCAACGCCACCTGTCCAGCACCTGGACTCAATGGAAAACATGAAACTCCAGGAAAAAGTGGTTCGCGCTGGTAATGAGACGGCACACTACTTTTCTGCATACTTAGTAGCTCTGCAAAGATACATCCAACCTACAAACATCCGTTAAACTTAAGTCCATTTTTGATCAAATGAGACTACACGGACGTACCGACCACACATCAATAGCAGCAGAGTAATCGTGATCACGAAAGATAATCTCAGGTGCTCGATACCACCGAGTGACAACGTGTTCAGTTAATTGGCGCTTGATTCGACCAGCAGGAGTACGTGGATGGACACCCACACCCTGCAAAGTGCTTTCATCTAATATTGATCCATCATTTAATCGCTTTCGTTTGCGTCCTAAAGTCGAGGCAGACGACGAGAGACCACGCGCCAAACCAAAGTCACAAATTTTTATGGCAACCGGGGAAAGATTTAACAGCACGTTAGCTGGCTTCAAGTCGCGATGTACAATTTCAGCCGAGTGCATGTACTTTAAAGCCTTGAGTAGATCTAAAAGTAGCCACCTCAAATGCTCAGCTGTCAAAAACTGTGGTGAATGCAGCAATTTTTCTAAATCAGAAGGAAGATATTCGAAAACGACAAAAAGGTCTTGAAAGTGGTTCATGTCCAATGGTGAAATAATTTCTCGAATCTGCACAATGTTCGGATGTCGCAATTGTCGTAATATACAAAGTTCACGAAGAATACGCTTCGCATCAATTGGATCTGAAAAGACATTTTGAATCTTCTTGATTGCCACAATCTCTCCTGTTGGCAAATGCTTGCAACGTACTACTTGTCCATAGCTTCCTTGTCCAAGCACACATTCAATCGAATAATTCGGTGCAATTTCACTCCATCCTGGAATTGTCGATGCATTCGATGTCATTGCAGCTGGAAGTGACGATGGAATTGCTGCAGCTTTGGATACTGCGACGGTCACAAGAGGCACGACAGCAGTCGCCACCGCTTGCGTTGAATTTAAAACAGGATCTGTCGATAATACGAAGAAAGAGAATTAAAGTGACATTAAACACAGCACTTTAAAGCTCAACGTACGATTTTTAGATGCTTGATTCAGCACAGCCGGTGTCGTTGCGAGTGTAGTCTCGTTGACCGTTTTCAAAGACAGATGGGTTAGATCTTGTGCCACAACGAGCATACCTGCTCCAATCGGATTACCTACTAAAGGTGTACACGATCCCAGCAGTGTAAGCTTCATCTCATCTTTCGTAACAAGCTCTAGTATAATTCCAGTTACAGCAGATCCTTTCACACATTGAGCCAATGCATCAATCAGCACAGTAGCAGAAGCAGGAAGAATGAGATGCGGTAGCTCCTTGATAAGATTGCGACCAGCGACTTCATCTCGTAAGTACCCACTTAATTTAATAGCGCAATCATTCCAAAGGATCACACGCATAGCTTCGTCGACTACAAATACTAAAGCAGATGACGTATACAATGACTTTCCAAGACTAGCCAAGCTCTCAGTACTTGCACAGTAATTCTCAATACTAGCCACAAAGCTCTGCACCGTAGCTACTGTCGTGTCTTCAAACTGCTCACCAATTGTCTGTAGCATGATCTTACGTACAACACCATTGCGTTTCACAGGGAGAGCAGCAGGTGTTGGGACGATAGTAGACACACCACCAAGTTTCGGTGCTGCAGTTGAGCGCTCACTGCTTTGATCGACACATACGGATGGATCAAAGTGTACCGAATGTGTTTTATTGCCGCTCATGGTTCTTGAGGGCTAAGGAGAAGCTTAAATGACGTATTTTCGTCGAGTCGGAATGAGTCCTCTACGCTCTACTTTAAGTCAATCTCATGTATCGAAATGATTAAAAACGTTATTCTAACAGCCAACTGGTTTACATTTATCGCCATCTGCGGTCCTTATGGCTTCCACGCCATTCTATTCAATGCAGTTGGTGCAGATCTCAAATTTCTTTCTCAACATCGCTCAAAGATCTTGTAGAGGTTTGTAAGGCACGCGACAGGTGTGATCAATTGCGTATCGTTGAGCTCATGAGGTGGACAAAAAGATGAAGATTTTGTCGCTGGAAACAACACATGCTCTAAAACTAATGCTTCGCTCTCGGCATTGTTAGGGTATCGCATTTCACCGTAATATTGAGCTAACACCTGTGCCACTGTCTCAAAACATGGCTCCTCTTCCTCCCAATTCACTTCAGTTGCCAGATGGAACACAAATTCTGGTAGGGAATGGACTGAAGGTTCATGATCAGGTAAAAGCTGAGGAATTGTTCGCAGCATCCCCTGCGAATCAATATCGAGTGAAAAGTATTCAGAAAGCATTGGACCATTGGCAATCAGAAGTGTCTTGATTTCATCGGCAAGCTGCTCTTTGGGTCCGTCCTCGTCGGCGTAGCCATTTCGCGGATTTCGAAGCGCTTCAAGCACAAGATCGTATATCGAAAACGAAGTTTGAAAATTTATCGGTCGCATTGCACCGAACTGGTGACATGCTTGCTGGTAGAACACATGAAAGGCAATAGCATCGTGTCGCACAATGTACAGCTTTGTACGGCATTGCACGAGTGAAAAGTGCTTGTCAACGACTCCAACGAAACTGTGCTCACGAAAAAGCTACAGCAACGATGTCACTTAACCACATTAAAAATATCTCAAGATTCAGGTCTCAGACGTACCCGACAAAGTGCGTTGTTCGTCTTTTTTTGAATATCAAGCAATAAATTCTGGACGCTTGATAGCATCTGTGGACTTTGAGTATTTTCCAGACTTTCACGACGATCATTTTCGTGCTCGGGTGTAGGCTCTACACATAAAACAAAGGAACAAGGTGGCGTTTACAACAAGTATTTTAGCGTCCAAACGCGAGTTCATACCATGAGTAGATTGAATGACTGACAGCTTTCTTTTGCAAGGTAAGGTGGACGTTGCAGCATTGGGGCTCTTGACGATCTCATTGTGCTTCGAAACACTTCTGTCACGATTAACGTTTTTGTCTTCTTCAGTGTCTTGCGAACTTGACTGCGAAAGATGACTTCTTTGAGATTCCAGAAAACAATATTTGTCAATTGTGTTGGAGCGATGATCAGTTCTCACTAAACGCTGCGGAGCCTAATAGATTGCAGTTTCACTTATTTTCTTGCACATTCACTAGCCCACAATACAAAATCACTTACCCGTGCTGGTTGGTATATTTTCGAAGGTGGCGTCCTCTTTTCACTGAGATCAAGCTCAATCGAATCAACAGACGTGTTAGCTTCATCTTTGCTTTCAAGCTCTTGCTTGTCTTTTTCTTCCTCGCTTGATTCTGCGTTTCTGTGATCCTCGTCAGTGATACTTTTGCGTCTGCGCTGTTTCGTCAACACATCTCTATTATTTGCTGAAGGGATTTCCAGCATGGTTGTGATCGGCTGCACAGAAAAACTTCGACTTTCATTGCTACCTTTTAACTGCTTTTCGAGCGCTTGACTTATCGAATCGATTATGTCTTCTTCGTGTAGAAAGTGGACCTAAACGGCGTTAAGATAATAAGCTTTATAACCTTTTCATATTATATATTTGAACCGACCTCTCGTTTTGTAGGATGAACATTTACATCGATGTTACGTGGAGGAAGTTCCATGCTCAGATAGAGAAACGGGTGTGTGTTCTTCGGTAGATACAGCGAATAAACATACTCACAAGCCCGCTTGAGCGATGGACACTCGACAAGACGGTCATTGATAAATAGGATGAATGTGCTTTTCTGCAGACTACGGACAAGTCGAGATTGTTAACTCGATACCTTAACGTTAGTTGACAAATGATTGCAGAACATACTGATAATTAGCGTTGCTGATGTATCCACGAACATGACGCTGTAGATCCAACGAGCCTGTAGCACTTGCGCCTCTAATGTGCTCAAATGGAATGAGCTCACCTGCAAGTTTGTTACCGTAGATAGCACGGATCGCGTCCAACTGCAAAGAGCTTTGTGTAGTGTTAACACCACATGAAGATTCACGATGCTACATACTTCAAGAGTCAGAGATAGGAAAGCTCCCTTAATCTTGCTAGCCTTACCTTTTTGCAAACGAATCCGACACCCTTTCCACCAAAGTGAACAGCATATCTTTGCACTACATCCAGGATTCTGCTATACTGCTCTGACGCATTCTTCAGCGCCACTTTTCGCGTATTCAAGTTATAAAACAAATCTTCAACCTTCATAACACTCATCTCTTGAGTTTCAAGCGTAACATATGAGTTTCTTCTGTAAACGTACCACAATTAATGTTCCGTTCTTTCCCGCACATGGTTTCGGATCTTTCGACTCTCCTGGTCGCTTTGCCACCAACTTTCCATCGCGATACGAAGCTCTATAATACAAAATCCTTGAGTTATATTCTCACGTCTTTAGTTTACGTTTACTCATTGCATTCATCGTACTTATAAGCGCAAGGCTGGTCTGCTGTCCGAGATGTGATTGACACATGCGCTACATGCGAAATACTAGCGAGTGCTTCACCTCTGAAGCCAAAACTTTTGATATCTTTAAGATCGTCAAAAGTCTTAAGTTTACTAGTTGTAAAACGCTCACAAACAATCTCGAGATCCTGACGCTGAATGCCTCGTCCATTGTCTTGGATCTGCAAGAGCTTGAGACCTCCTTGACTCACAGTTACTGCCACATGTGTAGCTCCTGCATCAAGTGCATTCTCAAGCAATTCTTTGACTGCATTAGCAGGACGATGCACGACTTCTCCAGCTGCAATACGATTAATTACTTCCGGACTAAGGCGCTCAATGCGTGGTATTGCTGACATATTAAGGATTGACGTACTTTTCATTTTATCATTCGGGGTACGGTGCATAACCCAAAGAAATTGGGGTACCCTGTAGTTTGACAACATGGTAACATTTAGCGTATATAAGTCGTCCAAGTATCTCTTCGACTGCGTTGTCGCTATAGACAGTAACCTGTCGATATTGTGTACGACAGAGAACTTGAATGCATTTGAAGCGCTTCGGTATGTATTAGAGGCCAGAGCGATGCATATAGCTAAGAAATTGAAAGAGACGCTCTTGTGTAGCATAACACATGATTCAAACACGAGTATTGCAAGAACAATATGAATGAGCTGACTACGTTAATATGGTAGACTGCTTTCGGTGAATGTCATCAAGCGCATGGATTTCTATGAGCTGGACAAGCTGGTTACGTGTTGTAAAGGACAGGTAACAGCAATGAATGAGATGTATCAATCAGTGAGAAAATGTTTACGATTTTGTTCGTAGCTTATCCAAGTTTTTGTTAAATCGGCAACGCAAGGTGACATTGCTCCATTTGAAAAGTTTTCCAAGTACTTGAAAAGTCGACAACGCGTGAGTTAGTTTTGAGCCCATTTGTCTTGCTGCAATGAAATGCTTATAGGGTGCGTTTGTATTGCGTGGTAACAGGCTGGGGTAGCTTTACTTGCAGATAAAAGGCTTTTTGTACTAGCACCGGTTGAAGAGAGTGACTATCTATTAAGGTGTTTGGTTTTAAAAGCGGAGCAAACACCAGAAGCCCCTGCCACGTTACCGTTGAAAGCGAGAGCAAGAAGCTTCGACAAAACAGCGTCTGATTATCCCTTGCAAACAGAATTTGATCCAAAAGCTAAGATCACATTACAATCAGAGCCGGAATTAGCAAGCGAGACCGGTGAACGTGGCCAAATTCGACCTAGTAGCTTTAGTCGTGAGCAGCGACAAGACATAGCAGACAACTCGCATCAGAATTTGCCACTGCCCATATCGAACAATCAGAAAGTTGAGGTATTCCATATCTTGAGGCTTTGTGCTTGATGAATCAATGAGTGAGTGTAATGATTATTATGTAGACCAAAGTCAAGCCATTATCAGCTGCAACGAATCATGAGGTGGCCTTGCTTTCTAGCTTGCCGAGGATCGAGCGGGCAACAAAAATCGCTCAACTTCGGTCAGTATTTACAAAATTTCATACTATTGCACTCATGCTTATTGAATTCTTTCGTGCTCAGACAAGAGTATGGACTTTTCCACGAACATCATTACAATATTTTGCAAGAATGGAGTAAATCGGTATCTAACTGAGTTAGGAGATAAAATTTGAAAGGAGGCGTTTGCCTAAGCGTGTGTGGTAACCGACGAACCTCCACAAAATCTTACATCAATATCATGCAGACTTACTAGTCGATCATCAATATCGAAGAAATTCTGAATCTAGTTATTACGCAGCGCCTCCATTGCATCTAATTCTTTAGGCACTTTCGATGTCGTGATCTCAATGCCAGATTCGGTGATCTACGACAGGAAACACATGCATGACATTAGCGCGAATCAGCAGGTATCTCAAAATCATACGTACCACAATATCATCTTCTATGCGAACTCCTATACCTCGAAACTCTTTTGGCAAATCAAAGTCGTTCTCCGGCAAGTAAATACCAGGCTCCACAGTCACCACCATGCCTGGAACAAGTGGTTCACATCGCATGATGTGCGGTGTGTCGTGCGTGTCTAATCCAAGATAATGGCCAATATGTGTGGGGTTATACTTTTGAAATTCGCGAACAAAACCACGCGATTTTGTTTCACTTTTACCCTTTAGAATGCCCAGCTCCATCATACGTTCTCTCATGATATCCACAGAGTAATCATGCAAATCATTCAAAGAAATCGGCGACTTCATTTGAATCATATTATCCAAGTGCTTGATGCACTTCTTCTGGACGTCCAAAACAAACTCATACATCATAGTTTGTCCAGAAGACAGAGTTCCACCTACAGGCCATGTGCGCGTGATATCGCAAACGTAACCACCAGCAACCTCGCAGCCCGAATCAACTAGAACCAAATCATGCTTGTGAAGCATGCCACGTTTAGCCAAATAGTGGATCACTGCAGCATTTGATCCTGAGCCTACAACATTTGGAAATGCGTTCCAAAGCGCTCCATTCTTCTTAATCGAACCTTCAAATGTTGATCCAAGTGCAAGCTCTGACATTCCAGGACGTGTGTTCTTCATCATGTCAATAAATCCCTGTGTACCAATCTCAGCAGCAAATCGCATGCGATTCAGTTCATTTTCCGATTTAATAACACGAAGCTGCTCAATTAAACTGTCTCCCATGAAAAACTTATTGTGATAACTTTTTGTTGCCTCGACAAACGTGGACGAATAACTACCTCCATTAGGCTTCAGTACAAAGACTTTGTCTAATCCAGACAAAAGTTTGTGCAATGTTGGAGCTAATTCTGTTAGTTGAACGGCATCATCAGCTAGATATTGATCCTTTGCTCCATTCAGACCTATGCGAGCGCCATCCCATTGTTCACTGCACCATCTATCAGATAAATACAAATTGATATCAACTACAGAAAACACACCTGTGAGGATCTCGTGGACGTACAAAAAGAACAAAAGAACACACATCCGGAGTCTTAAGAAGCACTGCGTGTGCGTCAGGTTCTTCAAGTCCAGTGAGGTACATAAAATTAGTATCTTGATGAAATTCCCACGGTATATCATGAGTCATGTACTTGACTGACGCTGCGTTCGTAATGAATGCGGTATTTGTAGGCATTAAAGCGAACAATTTCTTTCGGCGTTCTTGGAATTCCGAGGCTGGAAGACCTAGTCATGATATATTATGATCAAAATATGGACAAATTATCACCATTTCCAATGACTCGTCTCGCACCAGGTTGTAGATACCCTGCCTTCACTTCAAATGGGTTGCATGGCTTGTAATTAGCCGCTACGGAGAGTGTTGACGTAGCTCGTGCAGCGATCGGAGCCCGTAACGATAGCCGCAACATGATATGACACACTTCACATATAAATGTCGTTTGAATGTCGCATGAAATTCCTAAGTGCGAGCTGTTTGACTGGTCACAACACTCAAGAAGTGCGCGATAGCGTGGAAGAGTGAGGAAGTATCGTCATTGTAAGGACCTTAGCAGCTGCAGAGACTGTAAGACAAGATGCCACAACATGAGCATATGGAGATGCATCGCAAACGCCATGGTGTGCGAATGGATGCTGCTGAGAAGAAGCGTAAGAAAGAAGCGCGTGAGGTGCATCGCCGCTCACAATTTGCCCAGAAGGTTCATGGTCTGCGTGCTAAATTGTACAATCAAAAGCGATTTAAAGAGAAGGCTGCGATGAAGAAGACACTAGCACTTCATAATGAACGTACGAATAAACACGCTAATGACGATGAGATTCCGGACGGTGCTGTACCCTCTTACCTGCTTGATCGCGAGGGTGTTTCTCGTGCTAAAGTTTTGAGCAATACTGTGAAGCAAAAACGTAAGGAAAAAGCTGGCAAGTGGGACGTTCCAATTCCCAAGGTGAAACCAATAGCTGATGATGAAATGTTCAAGGTGCTGCGTTCGGGCAAACGACGCAACAAGGCTTGGAAACGAATGATTACAAAAGCTACGTTTGTGGGTGAAAACTTTACCCGCAAGCCACCAAAATACGAGCGCTTCATTCGTCCTAGTGCCATGCGCTTTAAAAAAGCCCATGTTACACATCCAGAGCTCAAAACTACGTTTCAGCTGGCTATACTCGGCGTTAAAAAGAATCCTCAGAGCCCACTATACACCCAACTTGGGGTCATGACCAAAGGCACTATTATTGAGGTAAATGTTAGTGAGCTCGGTTTGGTAACAACATCTGGAAAGGTTGTGTGGGGAAAATACGCTCAGATCACCAATGTGCCGGAAAATGACGGCTGCATCAACGCTGTGCTACTTGTCTAATTCTTATATACAAACCATTTGCCATATAAATTGAATATCGTCACTGCTAGTGCAACGACGTAATAGCTATTTCAATATGTCACTTAGCGTAATTTGTTTTTTCTTATAGATTAATAAGTCCAGGGTAATTTATTGTGAATTTTCGACATAAAAATTACATGGGCAAAAGCAAAAATATTCGAAGTGATATTTTTTCATTTCAAGTAGAATATTGTGCTTCATTGGGAAGCGTGGCCTTCGAGCGGATATCGCTAAGGTCAAGGCCATTGTAGATTGGCCGGTTCCAAAGAAGCAAAAAGACTTGCGTAAGTGGCTTGGTCCTTTCAACTACTTGCACAAGTACAGCGTAAACTACGCAGAAATGGCCCGGCCATTATCCAATCTTCTTAAAGAGGATGCGGAATGGTTGAACGAAAATGTCGTCAGAGAATGTCTGTGCATACGCCCTGTGGGACCTGAACAACTGCGTCACAAGACGATTGAATGTTGCTGGTGCATTTGACAGCCCTTGGGGCATCAGCAGCCACTCCCACAGCATGCCGCTCGGAGTGCTTACCGCTGTCACCGGAATGTCACTCGCTCTCACGAGTTGGAACCCCGAACATCAGGAGGCTTTTGACGGAGTCAAAGACAGCCTCCTGCATTCACCGATACTGGCGCTGCCAGACCCTGATCGTCCTTTCAGCGTTGTCTGTGACGCTTTGGACTTTGCCATCGGCTGTGCACTGCTGCAAGCAGACGCTGAGTGGCGAGATCGGGTGATCGCGATCGAATCTCGACAGCTTAAAGCTGCAGAGAAGAACCACACAGTTCATGACAAGGAGCTACTTGCTATGAAGTATGCTCTTGTCAAGTTCAGGTTCCACCTGCTCGGCTCCAATCCGTTTGTGATCTATACAGATCATGCGTCACTACGCACTGCGACACAGCCACCCCACCTCTCGCAGAGGATGGCTAGATGGCTACCCTTCTTCGAGAAAATATACATTCGAGGTGAAGTATAAGCTGGGAAAGCAGAATGCTTTGGCTGATGCGTTGTCACGCA